AGATCACGACACCCACCTCGCGCGTGCGTTCTACCAATCTACGCTTCTACACCTCGTGATCCTGTTCATGGTTTATACGTTTCTATTTCTGCACTATTGTATGAAAAATCATATTGCATACTCGAACAAATTTTATTTTCTATGTGCAATCAACGCAGGTTTCAACTGCAATTGACTATTCCCTGTAATGTTTCAATTTTAACCGCAACGAAACAGTCTTTAACTGAAGATGTCAAATTGCTGTTAAATTCATACACGTTTTCTAACATTAGTGTATTCATCATTGTAATTATATGTAAAACTTTTCGGACTTTATCCGGACGTATTCCAGCTAATTCGGACTTTATCCGGACTTATTCCCGCTATTTCGGACTTTATCCGGATTATTTCGGCAATTTCGGACTTTATCCGGACGCATTCCGACTATTTCGGACATTATCCGGACGTATTCCGGGTATTTCGGACTTTATCCGGACTATTTCGGCTATTTCGGACTTTATCTGGACGTATTCCGGCTATTTCGGACTTTACCCGGACGTATTCCGACTATTTCGGACTTTATCCGGACGCATTCCGGCTAATTCGGACTTTATCCGGACGTCTTCCGGCTAATTCGGACTTTATCCGGACGTATTCCGGCTAATTCGGTCTTTATCCGGACATATTTCGGCTAAATCGGACTTTATCCGAACGTTATCCGGCTATTTCGGACTTTATCCGGATTTATCCGGCTATTTCGGACTTTATCCGGATTTATCCGCTATTTCGGACTTTATCCGGACGTATTTCGGCTATTTGGGACTTTATCCGGATTAATCCGGCTATTTCGGTTTTTATCCGGACGTATTTGGGCTATTTCGGACTTTATCCGGAAGTATTCCGGCTATTTTGGACATTATCCGGACGTATTCCGGCCATTTCGGACTTTATCGTGAAATCTCGTGAAATCTCGTGAAATCACATGAACTCGAGAGATTTTGAAAGATTTCACGAGATCTCGCGAGATTTCACGAGATCTCGCGAGATTTCACGAGGTCTCGCGAGATTTAACTAGATTTCACGAGATCTCGCGAGATGTTAAAAAAGATAGCGCCGATATTCGCGATATTTCTTCAGATGTTTCTTATATGTATATATTATGAATACTAATTGAACATTTATACGAGACTTTTCGTATTTCTTACAAATAGGCAAATTTTTATGGGCGAAATTTGCCGAGCCTAACCAGCTGTTCCTGGCGACACTAGCGCCTTATTATAGTAGCACCTTCCAGCGAGTTCAAAGGCCCTGCATTCCACTCCGCTGGGCGCGGCTGCCCCAAACTCCGTCCCTGTCCGGCGAAGCGGGTCGTGCCCCGCTGCTTCGTGTGCTTCAATATAGAGCGCGCACCGTCTCGTGCGGGCGTGCCAAATTTGAAAGTCCGCTGTGCACCAACTTATAGCAGTTGATGTGCTGCAGCAATGAGTCTATCTTGTGCTTGTGCGTGCGCAGAGGCGGGCGCGAGCGCCGACGCGTGCTCGCTGACCTTACGCGGGGCGGAGGAGTTCTCGGAGGTGGAGGCACGAGCGGTGGCGGCCTTCGCGCGCAGCCTGGCGCCGCGCCTGCGCCTCTACCTCACGCTGCACAGTTACGGCCCGGTGAGGGTCTCGCACGCACTGCTACGTACAAACTGAAACGACAGAACTTTAGGTTACGTGCGTTTTCTTGACATAGAATGGGAGGAGGAGTGAGGGAAAGGGAGCGAGGGGAGAGAGGGGAGAGAGGGAAGAGGGTGTGTGAGTGAGTGAGCGAGTGAGAGAGTGACCGAGTGAGAGAGTGGAGAAGAGTGAGAGAGCTGTAGGAGAGTGAGTGAGTAGAGTGAGTGAGAGAGGAGTGATGAGTGAGTGAGAGAGTGAGCTGAGTGAGACGAGTGAGAGTGAGAGCAGAGTGAGTGAGAGAGTGAAGTTGAGTGAGTGAGTGAGAGAGTATGAGAGAAGTGAGTGAGAGAGTGAGTGAGTGAGTGAGTGAGAGAGTGAGTGAGAGAGTGAGTGAGAGAGTGAGTGAGAGAGTGAGTGAGAGAGTGAGTGAGAGAGTGAGTGAGAGAGTGAGTGAGAGAGTGAGTGAGAGAGTGAGTGAGAGAGAGTGAGTGAGAGAGTGAGTGAGAGAGTGAGTGAGAGAGTGGTGAGAGAGGTGAGTGAGAGAGTAGTGAGAGAGTGAGTGAGGAGTGAGTGAGAGAGTGAGTGAGAGAGTGAGTGAGAGGAGTGAGGTGAGAGAGGAGTGAGAGAGTGAGTGAGAGAGTGAGTGAGAGAGTGAGTGAGAGAAGTGAGTGAGAGAGTGAGTGAGAGAGTGAGTGAAGAGAGTGAGTGAGAGAGTGAGTGAGAGAGTGAGTGAGAGAGAGTGAGTGAGAGAGTGAGTAGAGAGTGAGTGAGAGAGTGAGTGAGAGAGTGAGTGAAGAGTGAGTGAGGAGAGTGAGTGAGAGAGTAGTGAGGAGGAGTGAGAGAGTGAGTGAGAGTGAGTGAGAGAGTGAGTGAGAGAAGTGAGTGAGAGAGTGAGTGAGAGAGTGAGTGAGAGAGTGAGTGAGGAGTGAGTGAGAGATGAGTGAGAGAGTGAGTGAGAGAGTGAGTGAGAGAGTGAGTGAGAGAGTGAGTGAGAGAGTGAGTGAGAGAGTGAGTGAGAGAGTGAGTGAGAGAGTGAGTGAGAGAGTGAGTGAGAGAGTGAGTGGAGAGTGAGTGAGAGAGTGAGTGAGAGAGTGAGTGAGAGAGTGAGTGAGAGAGTGAGTGAGAGTGAGTGAGAGTGAGTGAGAGAGTGAGTGAGAGAGTGAGTGAGAGAGTGAGTGAGAGAGTGAGTGAGAGAGTGAGTGAGAGAGTGAGTGAGAGAGTGAGTGAGAGAGTGAGTGAAGAGTGAGTGAGAGAGTGATGAGAGAGTGAGTGAGAGAGTGAGTGAGAGTGAGTGAGAGTAGTGAGAGAGTGAGTGAGAGAGTAGAGTGAGTGAGAGAGTGAGTGAGTGAGAGAGTGAGTGAGAGAGTGAGTGAGTGAGAGAGTGAGTGAGAGAGTGAGTGAGTGAGAGAGTGAGTGAGTGAGAGAGGAGTGAGTGAGAGAGTGAGTGAGATGAGAGAGTGAGAGAGTGGAGAGTGAGAGAGTGGAGAGAGTGAGAGAGTGAGAGAGTGAGAGAGTGAGAGAGTGAGAGAGTGAGAGAGTGAGTGAGTGAGAGAGTGAGTGAGAGAGAGAGTGAGTGAGTGAGAGAGTGAGAGAGTGAGAGAGGAGGAGTGAGAGAGTGAGTGAAGTGACGTGGACGGAAGGGAGACAGAGAAGGAAGGACAGAAGATTAGATTAGATTAGCTTTTATTAATAATTCTGCAAATAATGTGTGGAGAACTTGGTGGCAGAATACACTAACTAACATTACAGAACTTAACAACTATACAAATTCACAAACTTTCAAAAATGACATGAACATTTCACCGTGCAATCTTTCATAGAACTCCACTTCATCAAACTTCACTTCACCACACTTCACCGCACTGCGATACAGCGAGTTGTAATGTCTTTCTTACTCACTCGTTTCTCAGTTACACAACGTCACTGCACTGCTCATACTACTACTACTACTAATAATAATATAATAATAACAACAACAATAATAATACTTAATTACAAAGAAGACATAGGTAATTACTCTGAATTTATAAATATATTTATAACATACTACATTCAAGAAACTAATTTATTTTTAAATTTGCTCAGGCTTTGAGGAAAGGGATCGAAGATTTTCACAGGCAAACTTTCCAGTCCCTAATAGTGCGATTCGCGAATGAATATTTCCCAACGTCCGTTTTCTGAATTCTTGTCTGAATTTTGTGCATGTGATCCGCTCTGCCGAAATATGTAGGTTTCCCTAATCGACTTTGAATTTCTTTCCAGCTCGAAGGCCTGTGTACGCTTTATACATTGCATAAGACGTGACTTTAATCTTCTCCTTTCGAGTGACTCCCATAGCCCTTTATTCTTGGTACTTCGAAAGTAAATTTTGATGCTCTACGCTGGACCTTTTCTAGATTTCTTTGTTGCAAAATTCTGTGTGAGTCCCAACAGAATTTGGGCAAAGGGTAGGGAGAGGGAGGGAGATTGAAAGGAGAGTGGGAGGGAGATAGGGAGGGAGAGAGAGGAAGAAGAGAAAAAGGAAAAAACGGGACGGGAGATATACTCACACATACGGTACATACGTACGTGGACCTATGGTTCGGTTTGAATTTTTTCAATATGACAGACACGTTCACACTGAAACGAATGATAAAATAAACTGTATTAAAACAAAGGTGATATTAGAAAAATGAAGGGATAAGGTTGAATTTAAAATACAAAATCGTGAAATCTCTAAATATAAATCAGAAACATTAAATTCAGTTTATACGCTCAGGTGAAAGTTGTAATTAATTTCCTATGAGATTCGTTATGTGTTTTGAATTTTTGTCCCATCGTCCCAATCTTTGATTTTGTATGAGAAAATGGACTTATTTACACACACAACATTCACCTAAAATATGTGCATCAATTTGCATCAAACGATTCAGGAATTGTAAATCAGTTGTACTTGTAAAATGGTAAATCAGTTGTACTATAAGATTTTTATAGCATTTTTTATTTTGAAGATATTCGACTAAATTCTTTTTTAAAGAGATATTGTACGGTTTTACACGACAAGAAAGAACTTGGGAAGAAAAATTAAGAATTATTACACATGTTGTTTTTATGATAATTATGAACATAAATATTTTTTTAAAATCTGACGTTAGCGAAGAAGTTCGCACAGCGGCTGGATTTCTAAAAAATTCCACGACCTTATCGTTTGCTGTACCGGTTCAAAATGCAGTGAGGCTGATGTTGTGACCTCTAAACAATAATACGCTTTAGGTTTTCAACTTAGCCAGTGCACTTTGCATAGGGAAACAGCCCGTTCTGATATTTTTCCGGCGAAAGTAGGTTTCCAAGTTTTCCAGGATCCGCCTTAGGCAGGGTTTACTGTATTAATCCTCTGGAAAAGCGCCTGACGTCCTACGAATGATACCGCTCATATTCTTACTAACTTAAGCTCTTCAATATGAAACAGCTGTCAAAGGAAATAACTAGTTGCATAGTTGTAAAGAGTTCAACACTATGCTATATTTTTCTCGGTGACATTGAGTTTTAATTTTGCTTTTTAGAACGCTTCGTATTTGAAACATAATAGCTGTATTCAACACTTTTTTTTCGAATTGTTTCCAAAAGACAACAACAATAAAAATACAACATTACACCAGCAACATTACAAATAGTGTATGCTATTAAATTTGCTTATGTTTTCCACAGCTGCTTATGTTTCCGTGGGGCTACACGACTGACCTACCTGATGATGCAGATGAACTGGTAAGTTTTATTTGAAAGATTCCAATTTATTTATGCGCATAATGTACGAAACTATTTCATTAGTAAATATACTTTTTTAGTTACTATCTCTTCGAAGTAGTGATATTTTATTATAAATATGTGAATATATTTAAATTGAAATTAAACGCATAATTTTGAGACATCGAGAATTTCATTGTAAATACGAAGTACCACATTAAAGTTCGAAGTATGGCTAAAGTTAAAAGCAGTTAAATTTGACATAAGATGGTTTGACTGCAGCTGCACGAATAAACAACGAAATGATCATTTCTGAATGTATCGGGCTAATGTTGGCATTAAATTCCTTCCCTTCCTTCCTTTTGGTCCTGGTGAAGTAAGGAATTGTCGGAGTGTGAAGCGTCTTATGTGATTGCAAGAAACGTTTTAACATAGAAATGGCATCGGACATTTGCAGAGACTTAAGGTTGTATTTTGTAATTCCTGAACGCTGGGGGCCTCGTCTTTAATTTGGAAATATGTAGCAAAGCGTCAACTTGTTTAGCACTACACTTACGAAACTAATGACCGTAGTAGTTAACGCGCCCGTAATAACTAACAATCAATCAATGGTACTGATGTGAAATACCCAAAACGAGACAAGAAAGTTGTTTCGCAAACTTAAGTTTGATTCTCTTATAAATTTATAACGCAATTATACAAAAAAATAGCGTATGCAATTCGTTTATAATGTTGCTTTATTGCATGAGAACATGTTACAAACGAGCGACGTTAGGAGCGAGTTTTAATATTTGTAGGAATTAAGCTTAACATTAGAAAATAATTGACTGAACTACTGTTACAATGAGGTTAGGTTAGGCGGAATTAAACAACCAAATATTTACGACTGCTGTGGTAAAACTCGAGACATTACACTTTGTCTCTCCCAAGATTTAGAAACTTCCAAATAGCATTCTGATTCCTGTTTAATACATAGTATCAGGTATTACTCGCCCCGTAATATACTTCACTTACTTTCGACACCTCGTGAGGGCTAAGAAACACATCATGCGACAGAAGTCCGAAGTGCGCTTTTCCTGCTTTTATCCTTCTATTTTAGATAATTTGCTCGTAAATTTGGAAATTACCCGGATCAAACATTAGCCTGAACATATACTATCTATCATTTGATTAATTTCGGGAGGAAATAACCGTTTTACTTGGTAGGAAACGTATTTTGGTGTAATATGTGAGCACGTATTGCATCAGACATGGCCATGAGAAATAATATTTTATGTCATTAGAAAAATGAATACATTCATTTGTCTGTTGCTTTGCGGATCATTCTCGGAGAAGTATTGGAGGTAAGGGGCCGTCCATAAATTACGTAATGCAAATATGGAGTATTTAGAATATCCATTCTCTCCCCTCCTGTAATACACTTGTAACACGCGAATGAACACCCCCTAAATAATTACATAACGCTTGCGACAAGCATCCCTTCTATTTAAAGTACTTAAAAAAATTAAAGTAGAAACAAGGAGTTATAATAATTGTATTTATGTTACATACTAAAATGTATATAATGATTTCCTAAGTAATTGACATTGCACATAATAATTTTGAGGATAAATTTTGATGGAGGAATGTCGCGTTGGCAAGAAACTTTCTAGTAGCAAGACGTGCATATGCCGTATTGGATGCAGCATAGGCCCTGATCTAATGAGCTATTTAATTGGATATTTTACTATCGATTTTGAATAGTTTCTTCGTTCCAATAAAGTAACATGATTTACCTCCAGTTCGGAGCTGTATTTAACATTAGAATTGATTTCAATAGTTTGAAAATTGAAGATTTCGAAAGTTGAAGTATTATTTATTTGTCAGTCTTTAAAGACAAATCAGAAAAAAACTTGAATTACTTTTGTCTCTATGAGCATTTGCAGAAATTAGATTTGAATGACAATGTATTTGAATTAGGTATTGGTATATCACTTATTTGAAAACGGTTCATGTGAGAATTCTAGGCTTATTGAGCATTGAAATTCTCAAAAACGGTCCACTAGAGTTTACAGCATAACTTGGAAATATTTGAAGAATAATTTAATTTAATTCCTAGTACTAATAATGTACATATATACACTGTACTTTCATATTAAATGTCAAAAGTTATAATCCAGTTTTCGTTAGGCGGAACAGTAATTCATGGCCATGTGTTATTTGCTTCAGGAAGCTGTGCAAACTTAGCTGCAGCCGCTTGGAAGCCTTCGTGGCACCAAGTACGTCGTGGGCAGCCCTCAAACGTGTTGTGTAAGTTCACAAATAATTTGTCTCTCCGTGATTTTACATATAAATATTCATCTGCGACTTCCGAGCTTGTGAAAAAGGTTTTATTTCACCGAACAGTTGTGCGAATACTCGAGAGGAGATTTTATGAAGGCAGTATTTGATATTCTATACAAAGTAGGCTTCGCGTTTGTCATTCACGCGAAACCCTACCTATTGACCCATGATTTTATATTGATTTAAAGAGTTTTGCGGTAATGTTTGGCTAAAATAAAGATATTAATAGTTTTTATTGATAAATTATAATTATTTTAAATGAGATGATATATTAATTTGTGATAGTATGGCGGGTCAGTAAAATAAGAAAACATTTTGAAATGCATTGTAATGGTACTTTTATTTTAATTCTTTATTTCAAATCCTACAAATACTTTGAAATGTTATCATCATAATTATGTATTGTTTAAAATAAATAAAATAACTTGTATTGAAACAGAATCATCTTCATTGGGGACTACTGATCCTGAAGTTAATCAATAGACGGACGAATGATTATCGGACTGCGGACACGTAACCAACATTCGAATTGCTTCGTTATTTTGCTTCGTTAATTTGCGCCGTAAACTTCTATGTAAGAAAATTTGACGAATAACATGTGATGTGTGTCCCTCAGATGCATCGTCTGGGTCGAGTCGCGACTGGGCTAAAGGCGAGCTGGGCGTGAAGTACGTGTACACCATGGAGCTACCGCGCGGGCTCTGGGTTCGACCCTCCCAGAGGACATCGTGCCGGTGGTGGAGAGACCTTCGAGGCCATCAAGGTGCTGGGAAAGGCTGCGGGTGGTTCCCTACGACTCTAGAGCAGGGGTTTCGCACACATTCGTTAGAGTTCCTGTAAAAAATTCTTAAAAAACAGCCTTTTTAGTAATTTTTGAATGAATTGTCCTAACTGTTGTTTTAGTACTGAGATTGAAAAGCAATTTGGGGTATCGCAGAAGTGTCGAAATAATTCTGGGCCTGCGATAAAGTCGCCATTGAAATTTATTTTTCTATTCGAAGCATATGCGATAGTCAGCAAACTGTAAAAAATATCAATTCCCTGAACAATTAGAGATAAGTTGGTAAACGTCATTATAGTGTGTAGTAAGATATTTCTAATTTTGATAATGATGTTTTTAAAAACATTTGTGATTTTGGAATAACGTTACTATTCATTTAAAAGTGAATTCAAGTGTTTATAAAAAATAAAGAATTAAATAATATATTGTTGTCATTATTTTCCGAAATATATCCAATAAAATATTTGTACCTGTACCTTTTTTTAAATATTGATTATTTTATGTCATTTTAATAACCTATTTTGTGGGATGACATTAAATTGATAGAAGATAATTTTCGATAATGTTGGTGGTTTAGGCCCGTATCACACGAGCGTGGTGTTGATGCACCTTGACATCGATACGTAACTCACGTCAACGCATCGTCCGCGTGCAAGGGCCCTCAAGGAGTAATTTCGAATCATTCTCTACAAAATAGCTACAGCTCTTCGTGAAATGCAAACTAAAATGAAGTATCTTCTTTCAAGGGGTAAAACCAATGGATTATTAAATGATGAGGAAAACTAGATTTACATAGACGTATGTCTTAAGTAAAACATATTCGTTATGAGTGTACTGATTAATTTTTACTTTGCATAAGAATGTATTTGAAATATATATTTCCGGGATTTGAAATGATTTTTCATCTTTCAGTTTTAACAAATTACCACATAAGAATATTAATACAATTTTAATATGTAATCAATTTTTCCATTCTTCTCTTCTATAAATCTTATCTTGGTTTATTTCTTTCTCTAATAGTACACTTCAATTTTCTTGTTTCTATGACACAGGTGGTCTTCCACGTTTCCTTTTCCCAAAAGGTTCCCAATAAAACACTAATTTAGGTAATCTCCATTCTTCCATTCTATTAACATGTCCAAACAGGTTGGCCGTTTTTTATTTAAATAATCTATTCTTGAATGTGATCCGTTCATATTTTTTTAAATAATTTTGTTTCAAAATTTGTCTCTTCTGGAAATTCTTTAGGATCTTCTCCAATAATCCATTTCTGTTGTCAATAATTTCCCATTTAACTGTGAATTTAAAGCCGGAATGTGTGATCCAAGTCCAACTACTTCTAATTGTCGTTTTAAACATTTTATTTTGGTCTCTTTTGCGATACCTTTATCCCATAAAATACTATTTAATACTATTTAAAATTGAAATCGTAATTTCCTATATTTATTTTGACCAAATTATTTAAACTGTTTTCCATCATTTGTAATTTGAATTCCTAAATATGTGTATTCATTTGTGTGATAATTTTGCCATGTCTTTTTCTAAAACCAAATTTTTCCTATTGACTCCAATTATCATTCATTTGGTTTCCTCCATATTAACTTATAGACCCCACGTGTTATCATCAACTGATCATGTGCAATCATCAACTGATCATCAGCAAATAGTAATGTATGAATAGTGCATTCATTTACTGGTAAACCCATTTTTTTTACATTTTTTCTTCCAAATTTTCAAACTACTTTCAATATAAATTGTAAATAATGTATGTGATGGACATCATGACGTAATTATTTATTCACACAAACCAGCTGATATAAATTGTCAATTCTTTTTTCGAAAAAAGAATTTTAAAACAATTTTCTATTTTACTGCAACCGGATTAATATGACTTGCAATCAAAGCATCCCATAATTTTATTAAGAGTACGCTATCATAGGCGTTTTCTATATCAATAAATACTAAATGGATACAGTAATAGTGACAGTAATACCTCTGTAATTTTTACATTTATCTTTCCTCCTTTTTTATGTATCACTGAAATATAACATATCCTTCGTAGATGAAACTTACCCCATATAGTACGTATTCATCCCGTCTGCGATCGTGAAAGTACAATCTAGACTTAACGAACTTGCTTTTTAAAATTGTCTATTTTTAAATCCCCTTTTAATCACTATTTAATAATTACGTTTTGAATAGAGTGATTGTTTTATTAAATAATTGATCGTCTATAAATTTCTTGGAAATGAACATAAGACAATTGTGTAATTGCAAGTTCAGAATTTGACATTTATTGGTCTGATTATGACATTATTTTCTGTATCATGCCTTTTAATACATTCTTGATTTTGTGCAAACAAAGTTAATATTATGTTCCTATTCTGTCAACTGAGTGGCATTACCTTGTGAAGCTGTTTCCAGAGATATAAGAATGACCTTTTCATTTAATAAATTGAAGGACAGAGGAACTAACACCCTACCCGGTTTGTGACACGATACGAAATTATTAATGAATAAGCGTTTACTTTGCGATGGAGGTCACTGGAAACAGTTTCAGAGTCTATATTTCCTAGTGAAAACTTAGACAAATTTATTCGAAATATAGAAATTTGCGAGAATATCGCTTTTACATTTTTCTCTCCTTTATTTTGTTTTATGTCCTATATTGGGCAAAACTGACACTCGCAGAGCTCAGTTTAGTGTTTTCCAAATTTTTCAAGTAAAGACAGACAAAAAAATATTTCGAAGTATTATTAAGGCCGTAAACTATTAATTTTTGCTTTTAGGGTCCTTACACCAAGTTAGGTTTAATACGATACGAATATCATCCTTATTCAAAGCTCCCCATCCAAAAAGCTCCTTATCCAAGCTCCCATACGTATGTAATTTTGATTCGAAGCAAGTAGAACGTTTCCGTTTAATTTCGTTCTGGAAAAAGCAATTTCAATGACGCACCGAATAAAAATTAAATGAACGCCTCGTACGTGCCGCTTATATGTCATGAAACGAGCAACTATTTTAATTAAATTTGCACCCACGACCCAATTTCCACCCAGCAAATTTCACATACAGCATTACTCTAAAATTATCATGTGAATGACATCTACTTACAATATAACTAAAAAATATGTTATGAATTCCACAAATATTAGTAAATACGACTGAAATGTTTCTTCTAGCCAAGATTATTTCTTAAATTACAGAACTTCAACGCTTCAAACGAGCAAGTTAATTGCGTCGTGCCTCCATGACTGCCGCTTCTGAACGGATTCTGTCTTCTCCGCTCTCCCTCCGAACCTCCCTCCTCACCCCTCCTTCCATGACGTCAGGCGCCATTCCTCGAGGAGAATTTACTTTGCGAACTGGCAACCACAAAAATAAAGAGACTTTTACAAATAAACGACACAACAGAAAATTTGCAGAGATTTACTACCAACTTACTTTCTCGTGTATAGGAAACAACGAGAAGCATGTTCTATTTTGCGTAGGCAAAATTGCTTTACCAGCCGCCAATCGGATGGCCGAAGGGGTAGTGTTTGCAGGGGAAGGGAATCTTAAATAGCGGCGGTCGCGCCTCAGGCTTTCTTAGTTGCGCGCTGTCGACCGCAGGCAACCGGAGCGGCGCTCCCTGGTGACTGGACTGGCTGGCCGGAGGCCCGCCGGAGGCGCGAGGAATGGCTACGCCCAAGTGTGATGACCTCGCCTCAGTCTGCAGTTTGAGGCGCTCCAAACGGTCGTGCTAGCTCTGGGTAGGACCTTCACCTTCACCTTCAGCTCGGCGAACCTGTAGTTGCAGTGATCGCCTGCAATGGCGATTCTGTGGGTATGCAGGGCTCCGTTTTTCCCGTCCTTTGGATGTACTTAGGGAGCGCGTAGTTTTGTAAAGAAGAAAGCGAACCAGATTTTTTGAACTCTAGCGAAATCGTGAAGGTTGAAACGTATAAATTAATTTAAATTATGCCAGCATGGAAAAATATTAAAATCCACTCACGTTTTCATTAATTTATTAATAAACGTTAAACAGACTTTATGGTCAATATTGAATTAACTTCAGTATTTGAATGTTGAATTCAGTTAAACAAAAATATTTCAATTAAAACAAATATTGAAGCTTCTCCCAATATCTCTTTTGATTAAATTGCTATTGAACTTCAGGGAGGATGTACAGCCGTGGTCCTGTCCAGTTAAATATGAGGACCTGTTGTGCCATACGATATAATATTGTATAGCTGTGCTCTTCTTCTACAATAAATTTATAGCTACCTCTGAATGTATCCATCGTTGAGCTACTACGCGGAAAGGACGCACCTATAGAGACCCTTTACAGTTGGCTCCCCTAGTAGGTCCGTTTAAGTCGTTAAAATTAGGTGCGGGGTCCAACAGTCGGGGATCATAGGGAAAGTTACTTGGGTTCACCCCCGTTGGCAAAATAGCGCAGGTTCAACGTTGAGGGCAATTCTCTAGGTGGTTCCCCGAAATGCTCCATTCGATAGTTTTGAAAGAATGATTCTTCCCTCTGAATGTGAAATTAAGGCTGCCTTCCAAGAGATTCCTGTTTTTTTTCTCAATAAACCGCAATAGAAAGAAAATTGAAATTATTTTATACATCGCCAAGGTTTGAGTGGGATTTTTATCTGCTCTGAAATCTTTGGAAAACTTCGATTATTTTTACGAGTATACAGAAGTCGTCAAGAAACGTCGTAAAATTAGGTGAGTAAACTACAACTTCAGATTAATATATAACATCTAACATAATTACTAAATATAATTTCTATGTAAATGATTTTTTTCTTTTTTCAGAAATCTTGCTTATACTTCATACAAAGGATAACTTTCTTGCAAAGACACTCAACATGCGATTGGAGTTCTAATCAGCCATGAACATTGAAAACAGTGGTGCTCCAGAGAGGAATCTGGGAGAGGGTGGGGTTGAACGAGTGGATTGCAATTCCGGGTTGGGTGTAATGGTGAACGGTTATTAATCGGGTTTGCTCTTGATTTTTTAATTATTTTTTATTCATCGTAAAGATTCTAACTTTCCACTTTCAGAGCAATTTTCTCCTCGTTGCATGCTCCTTGTCATATAGATGTACAGAATTGACACTTGATTACGGAGGGACTATCGGGCTGATTGTCCTTTTTCTTCATTGCTACTTATGGGGTCTGATCTTGATTTCAGATTTGTTTTATTTTTGTTTGTTGAAGAGCTCGCTCAAAATCATTACTATTGTAATTCAATTTAACATTCACTGGAAGCATTTCCAAACTTCCAAAAGAGCTCAATGTCATATTATGATTAACTGTAAACGGAAGTACGCTACAGATGTCTGAAACGCTATAGAATTAACAAATGACAACACACTAGTGGGTAGTTTGTTTCAGATGCATGGCATCGTGAACTACAAAAGTGGTTTAAAAATTGCGGGGGGTGGGGCCGGTGGACAGATAACAAATCCTAAATGCTGTTTTAAATATTGATTGCCTCCCTCTCCTCCCACTCGTTTGTATTCTCCCTTATAAACTTTCCTACTTCAGCCATAATTCTCTCGATGATTTGAATCGTCACAATGCTAAAGATTATTGTGAGTTTCAGATAAATTACTGTGGAATTCGAACTTAGAAAAAGACGGCGGAACTCTCCGAAACCAGAGAACCTCCCATCTCTGCTACACAGCATCGTCCCAGCAAATTTTGACAATTGGCTATTTATAAACATTACGTTTTCACTTTGTCAAATGTAAATCAAATTATGTTATTGATATTGTTGTAAAATTCTTTGTAGAAGAATGTATATATTTTGAAGTCAAGACTGAAATAAACGAAGCTGTATATTCAATACTTTACCCTTAGCCAAAACTCGATATAACTTAAACACCTTTAAACGTTGTATAAATCGACGTGCATTCCTGATCTTAAATTAAATTTACTTCGGGGTGAACCCAAGTATACTTATTGTTGATACGACTTATCTTGAAATGTTTTCTGATCAATCCTCTTACGCAATTGGTCATTGGGGAACCAAACTAGAAGGAAACCGTGACAAGCTACGAAAGATGTGTAACTAGAATACTCTAGAATTATAAATATTGGTTTAAATTTTATAGAACTTGTAAAATTTGTTAAAACCTTTAATTGCTGGGATAAATTAAATTGCTTGGAGTACTTTCAAGAACGTAAATAAAAAAAAAATCTTTGAAATGTGGCAAACATCCTTACAATAAACCTTCAGTTCGAAATATTTGACATTTCTTATTTTAGCGGAAGACTCTTATCGTTGTGAGCACCTATCACGAACACTAATCGATGTGCATGTATTTTAAATTAAATTAAAAATGTAGAATAAATGTAATTTACTTCGTTTCATTTAATACATAATGCTTGCCCATGATTTTTAACAGCAATTGTACCTTTACCTTGAGGGCCTACATAAAAAAACCTTACGGTGGAAGAATGCAATCAACACGAGTCATTCCAGGTCGTATGTCCCAATTCTGGGAAAGGGCAGGCAGTTCCGTGCGACTATCACTGATTTTGATGAAATTTTGCATGGAAAGATCATGTCCCAAAATAACTTTTCTTTTGAATTTTTAAGAGTATATCAAATAGTTTTGTCTCGATATAATGGTCAGTTTGGTACCTTACGAAGTGGATGTGAGATTTGGACCAGTTTGGATACATATTTCCGTTCTCGGTTGTTTCTAAATCTTATACCTTTTTGTACATGCAGGTAAATGTGTAAATATTAATAGCCAGAATAGTAAATAGTAAATAGCCAGAAAAAATATATTACGTACGAAGTAGTTTGTGCAAAAAGTCAAGGCATGTTATTAAGAAATGATTTGTATGGTGCATATCGTACAGTACTTGTGATAGCAGACCAAAACCTTTAAAGCTAAGCTAGCTGAAATAGTTTTTATAAAAGGAACTGTAATTTTAATACCAAACTCCGTATCTAAAAATTTATTGCACCAACGTTCACAATAGACATTGCAGTACGGGTGGAGGGGGGATGGGGGGGGCGGTCAGTGCTGGCTGCGCTGGGCGAAGAAGCGAGCGAAGACGCGCACGCCCTCGAAGGTCTCGGTGACGACGGGCAGGATGGCGGACGCCGGGGGGTCGAAGCCGGTGCCGCCGCGCGGCAGCTCCACGGTGTACGAGTACTTGATGCCCGCGCCGCTCTTGGCCCAGTCCTGGCTCGAGCCCGACGTGTAGTCTGCAACGAAAATCAAGGGCGGTTGCGTGAGAGGCGCTGCATGCTCGCTTACACAATGGATTGGATCGTGTTTGCGGGTGCGTCAACGACTAAGGTCATTAGCCCCGTAAGTGTAGTGCGTTTTTAAATCGCGGGAAGTGGCGGCGATCTTCCTCGGCTGGATGGAGAGATTCGGCCTACACGTTGGCTTGCGGGGGTTTTCCCCATTCATGATTTCCCCCCTGCGGGGCACCGCCCCAGCCGGGACAGGCTCCAAGCGTTCTATTCGTACATACGTTCGTTTGCAGTTGGTACGAGTGTCAATGGCTATCACACTACTTCTAGCTATATCATTGTTTGATTTTCATTTGCTTCCCGTCCTATCAAACTCTTCCCTTGTTATAGTAACGTCTCTATACCGAAGAGACGAGGTGGAACGGAGTAGTTACGGAAGCAGTAGTCTGTGTTTAACTTTTGACTTGTAAATTCTGATCCGTGTCTTGATTCTGTATATCAGCATGTGTCTTTATGAGCAGCTGTTTTACGTAATGCATTTTAATAAAAACTACCATAGTACATATGTTTAATGACCCACTTTACGAATTTATTCGCCCCTATATGACTGAATTTGTTATTAGTATGCTAAGGTATTAATTAAGGGTGTCAGCAAACCTTTCATATAAATACAGAATTTAAGAAATAACAATGACTTTACTACTTTCACTACATTACTAATAAAATATAAGATTTATAAATACAAGTGTCGATAGAATAGGCCGGATATTTTTCGATTCAGCGAAAGCGGTATACAAATTCAAACTCTACCAAATACTTGTGATGAATTTCAACTAATTTTTAACAAAAAGTACACACTTTTTGCTTTAACCTGTCATTTTCTAAAGGTATATATAAAATTTAAATATATAAATTCAAATGATATAATGAGAAGTATTGCGATACATATCTCTTTTACAGAGAATACGTTGAATACGCAATCCTGAAAAATACACTTGAAATAATTTAAATATTTTGTCTTATTGTAATACAAATTAATAAATTCCTGAACAAGAAGATTTATCAGCCTTCATTTGACATAGTAATAGATTTTCTAATTACAGACAAATCCTGATGCGAGGAGATCGATCTTTTTATTTGCCAATCCTGAAGCTGAATAATACTTTTTTGTTTAAATGGATGCATCTAATTTTATTGGTTATATCAACATATAAATAAAATTGACAAAACATCAGAAACAAAATTTAAATTTTGGGTTCCAGATCTCCGTTTGGTGTTGGTAATGCATGGGACCATTTGTAAAGTGTTTTGCTAAGCTAAGCAATGAAAGGTAATAAATGTTTATATATACAGTTTTTGGCAGTGATTAGTGCAGTGTTTCAATTAGGTCTCTAAATGTATTAATTTTAGTATAGTTTCAAAGATTAGGTATTTTCTATAAACTATTAGCTCGCAACTGTTATTTCATTAGATTCTTCACGCAAAGTTACCTTTATTACGCAAATATATCTTTACGTACTAACACTTGGTTGTCTATTGAAAAAATGTCATCGCGAATGAGAGTTCGTCGCGAATGAATTCGTTCAAAGCTCCCGCGTGGTCACAAGCACGTGGTAGTTCAGGTACGGGTTATCAGAGAGCGCGCGCTGCGTCTTTTGATCGGTGCTGCCATGGATACTGCGACGAAAGCCACTCACTAACGAGATCTTCGCGGTTGCCTCTTTGCCTTTATTTGTTCATCCTATAAATGATATAGCGTGATATACCTGTCAAATCGACTCACTGTGAAAATCTTAGAGATTATCCATTATTTCGGATTTAATGTAAATTTATTGAATCTCATTTGAAATTATTTGATTTGGAATCTAATAGAATTATGTAGCGACTTTTGAAATTTTCATCTTTCCTTCATTCTCTGCATTTATACGTTTTGTAACACTTATTAATTATAACTCATCTGAAATATGATAAAATGCAAACGTCGTAGTACTATTATTAAACTTGTGGGAATTTACGCACATGTGAGCGGCTGAACTGATAACAGAATCCGTAAAAATGACATTATTCGGGATTATATCATTTCCACTTAATTTTAGTTGTCACTCTACGTTCGAGGTAAACGTGATTATTCCATTTACGATATTTGTACTTGTTTATTGTTAATGTAATTTGTACGCTGACTGAGTACACAATCCTTTACCAAATATTTGCACCCGATCATTATCAAATAAACTATGAATGAACAGTTTTCGTAATATCAGATCCAATAACCTCGAATACTCGCAAGAATGTACGAAATTAAATTTGATATGTAAAATGCTCAGGTGTTTTTGTGTAAAATATCAAATAAATACAATTTGTATTGTTGGTAAACGTTGATCAAAAATAAAACTACTTCCGTGTATTGATTATATCATATCATACTCATAAGAGCGATATCTACAAAAAAAGGCTTGTAAATAAAAAGAATAATTTTTCGAGCATAGTACTTTAAAAGGGTTAATTTTACAACAAAACGTTAGAGGAACTTTTGCATGAGATATTTTGCCTACTTTTATTTTATATAGAACATAAGCTTTTGTATAACTGATAGGAATGGAGATATGTGCCAAAACAAGATAAATCACATTTAAACGCCCCTACCACACACACACTTCAGAATATTTAGTATAATGTGCGGCAGGTTCCACAAACAATCCTGCCGAGTTTCAAAACTCCTAAAATTTCTTCTTCGATCAGTAGATTTTGGTCTACTTATTCTGGGCTATTCTGTTTATTGTTTGGCAAGAGTACTTACAGAGGACGTCCGTAGACAGAGGACGTCCGACGACTTACAGTAGACGCTTGGCTGCCCGGGAGACGCCGCGACTTAGACACGGGTACAAAGGGCGGCCATCTGCAACCTTCCTCAGGGAAAAATGTGACTTTCCTGAGGCACAACAGTTCGCCCGGAGGAAGGTCAGGAATGGCGTCCGAAACGTGGTCTTCTGTGCCTAAGACGATGCGTCTTTTTAGCAGCCAAGCAGCTATTTTCGTACAAATTTATTGGATGGTTTAATTTACACAAACATTAATACAAACATAAATACAAAAACATAATACATTTTAAGTTCAGACTATTGATCACAGCCTTGAATGTGAATGCATTTGTGAACAAACAAAGTAGGAAAATAGTTACTGCAACAAAACGTGTGTGTGTCTCTGTCTCTCTCTGTCTCTGTCTCTCTCTGTCTGTCTCTCTCTGTCTCTGTCTCTCTCTGT